CTTATGTGCTATGCAAGAATTGGCTGACAATTTCACTTTTGTACAACTTTTCCTGAACAATAATTTACAACAATCTATTCCTATTACGACTTTTCACTGAGTAAACATGAATAATTACAAATTGAGATCCTTTATAAGTGTCAAAACATCTGTTTTTCCCACTTATCAAACTCCCAAACTTGAAACTATTTCATGCCCTCAGGAAATACCAGAGAAACATAATGAAACAACACATAACACACCTTGGACGTTTTGATAGAATTAGAATGACTTTTAACATCAGACAAATCACATGCATTCCTAAAGATTTAAAACAGGTTATGCACAGTACAATACTCAAAAAAATTCACTGTGTATAGGAAATGTAAAACCAGATCCACATTTATCATTCTCACCACTCACAGTGTTTGGCCCTCACAGCAGATTGTCATAGAACTTCATCAGCTTTTGCATTTATTGATTCACACACGCACACACATGGTAAGTCAAAAGTTTTCAGGTTTTAAGGCTTGGCTTGGCTAGAAAAAGGAATCATGGTTTTTCTGGATCAAAGGACACCTATTAAGAAAGAGAACAACTTCAATTCCCAATTACAGTACTCAATCCCCAAAAATATATCATTCATAAATTACCATTTCTTTCCAGCTCAACCTTTTTTTTCATTTTGAGCTTCTTGTTTTTTTTCATTCTTTTTTTTCTTCCCCCAAACTTGAATTCAACCTTAACCTCCTTTAAAACATAATACATGTTCTCTTCTAAGGTGTAAGGTAGGATCACACAATAGGCTCAAGGTGAAAGAAATAAATCAAGGCTCAAAGAGGTTCACAAATGAATCATAGTGTCTAAAGGTTGGCTATCTGGTCAAGTAGCTATAATCAATAATCAACAGGGCCTTTTTCATCCTTAACCAAAAAGTGTGTGTATATACGTAGAATCAAAATAGTGCAAAAGCCAATTCCATATCTAGATAACTCAATATCTCTCAATCATCATATGCTCTCAACACTCACAGACCTGGTCATATTCATACACACAGATAAAAATTTTGAAGCACAGCCACCACAAACATACATGTCATCATCCTCAAGAATCACACCCACATAATTTAATCACACAATGCCAAATCATTAAATCAAAACACAATTGTCTTTACAACCACAAACATAAATCAACTAAACAAAGTTCCACATACGAACAACTGAACTGAAATACAAAATGATAATCAACATAAACAACAGGAGTCGCTCTACCACGACCCATCAGCTCTTGATCTCCACTGGTTCTCCTGTGAATGATAACTCTGTTGTGTCCATCCGGGATCTGGCTCCTCTTCCTCCTCATCACCATCACTTGCCATCATGTCCTCCTGCTCGTCTATCTCTGGCTCTGATGCTCCTGGATAAGCACTCCCCCACCTGGACTCAGGCATGCCCTCAGGCCATGGAATCTGCGCTGCAAACTGGGCTCCAGTCATCAGTGAGTCGGGAGGAAAATCAGGGATTCCCAGGGACAAGTTATACATGTTATCCTGTAAGGACACCTGACCCTGCCGCATAGTAGTGCACCAGTCGCGGATGTCATCCTGTCGAGCCAAACTCTGCTGCATGTAGCGAGTGAAAAGATTAGGGGAAGGAACGGACGACGCTACGGGTGGTCTGGCAGCTCTAACATTTCTGCGTGGAGGGGGAACTGAAGGAGGGGCATTCATAGCAGAAAACTCTCCCCTGTTAGTGCAATTCCTATCAAAGAATTTCTTGTTGAGAGGGGGTTGAAGTTTCAAAGTTATATCAGAGACTCCAGCGACTCCACTTGCCTTGCACAAGGCTGTCACCAGAGCAGGAAATCCAAGCTTACATGTCTCATTATCAGCAATCAATGCCATCTCTTGAGAGATATAAGCTCCCACATCCATATCAATCCCTGTCATAATACCATATACCATCTACGACCTTTCCAGATTGATGTCGGAAGTATGAGAGTTGGGACAGATGTTGGTGAACGTGAAGAGACTCTAGATAGTGGCCAGTGAATTCAAATGTTTCCTTAATATTCTCACTGGTGTCCCACTAGTTCCTAGCTGATAGCCATATCCTGGGAGGCATAAAGTGGAGGCAATAAGGTCATGGTCAAGATAGTTGGACATGAAAACGCCTAGAGAGCACGACTGAAACATCATTGTATTCAGAATTCTGTTCAATGATCTGCGGTCATAGCGTACAAGCTTGCCGCGCACTTTGGAGACTCTAGAGTGAGGCTGAGAGTGGTCAGGTTCCCAGGCATTTGCATAAAATTCCTTGACCAATACTTCATCAATTTCATTTGGTAGGTTGGCTAATACAAAATTTCATTTCCTCTTCTCCAGTTCTTCTTGGATATGGTCATATTCTCCAGGTTTCAATTCAATCCTCCTCTCAGGTAATAATGCCCTGCTCATGATATTCTGATGAAACTTATTAGAATTGGCCTCTGAAATAAAACGGTCCTGATCATAGTTCAGGACAAGGTTCTCCTCTTGGGCTTCTGAAGGTTGGGATCGAGAAGAAGACCCTCGGGTGGTCTTCCTCTTCTTCTCTTGTGTGCTCTTGGGAGGTGCCATCTGCAAGAAAGAATAGACAGTGCAACCAATTGTGGAAGATGGGTTAGAGCAAGTGAATGACACAAATCAAATATACTGCCAGATGAAATTCGCTATGCGCTAGTGTCCGTTATGCGAATTTTCATTTTCAGTGCCTACTGTCAAGATCAATTTGCTATGCGACACGAATCGTTGTGCGAAAATGAGAAATAGGTGTCTTCGCTCATGCCATTCGCTATGCGACTAGAGTCGCTGTGCAAATTTCGTATCAGAAAGCAAACATGTAATTCGCTTTGCGAATTTCTCGCCAAGCGAATTTCATACCAGAAAACAAACCTATAATTCGCTATGCGAATGTGTCACCTAGCGAGAGACAGTGCAGAGGACATCCACCAGAGATCAAATAACAGTGCAAATTCATGTTTAAACACAAACAGATTTGGCTTGAAAACTTATATGCACGATTTGGTTCAAATAGATCAAGTCAGATATACAAGAAACCCTATTATAGTTCCATGAACACTAAGAATCAAAGAAGCAAATGGAGTAGGAGTGAAATCTGTGGAGAGTGACCAAGAGCAGAGAGTGAAGATGCACTTGAAGCAAAGCAGAAGCAGAGTCAAGAATGTGAAATGGTGGCAATGGAGTGGAGAAGTTGGCAGAGAGGGAAGATACGTTCGATGTGCGGAGATGGAATAGAAGAGTGGTGGCTAGGGTAAAATGAAGAGTGGTAAAATGAGTTGGGGAAGGAGTAAGATTAAAAAAAAAAAAACTGAACGAGTAAATTCGCATAGCGCACCACAGTTGTGCATTGTGCGAATAAGCTCGTAATAAATGTCATTCACTGAGAGGTTAATCGCATAGCGCATCTCAGCTATGCGCTGTGCGAATTTCTCTCGTTCTCTGCACATTTGACTAATTTATTATTTTTTTGAATTTTGGTGTTCAGTCGCAGAGCGCACCGCAGCTGTGCGCTGTGCGACTAAACTTTTTCTTTTTTTTTTTTTTGAACATGAACAGAACAACATTCGCAGAGCGCACTTCAGCTATGCACTATGCGAATTAAAATAAAAACTTCCCTTCTCACATATAATTCGCTTTGCTCAAAATTTCGCCTTGCGAATATTTTAACAGAGTTGTCCCTTAAACTCTTGATAGCATAGCGTAAAGTGTGCGCTATGCGAATTAATGCTCACTTTCTCCTCAATTGCTCTAATGATTTTATTCGCCTTACTTATCCAATGCGCTATGCGAATCCTTTTGCAGAAAGACAATTCAATTTTTTAGTCGCAAAGCGCATGTAATGCGCTATGCGAACTACAATCTCAAAATAATTTCTTTTTCTCTCTCGCATAGCGCATGTAATTCGCTGTGCGAATAAATCACTGCTTCATAAAATAATCTAGTCGCATAGTGCACCTCAACTGTGCGCTATGCGAATAGAGCGTCAGAAATTATTGCTCAAGCTTCCTGAACACTTCCTCTCCACTCTCAAACTTAACAATTACACAAACAAAATAAAAAAACACAGATATATACAAACATGTGCTAGGGTGCCTCCTAGCAAGCGCTTCTTTAATGTCACTAGCTTGACCCAGACAATTCATGGTTAAGTTGGATTCTTGATGTTAGTGTGTTTTTTCCTTTCATGACACCAACATTTTCTGAGTAACTTTCTTGTCACCTACTTAATTCTTCTTGAATATGGAGCCTCAATTTCGAGTACTCCATTTTCCTTTATGTCCTTGATGACCCATAACCTGTTCTTAAGATTCACAGGTTTTCTAGGTTTGAGTTCATCACTTTTCACTGCAATTTGTTGGTTAACTCTTTGCTTCTCCTTATCTTCATCTCTTTCCTTCACTTTTGGATTGAAACAATTAAGATTCTTCTTGGCCAACTTGACAACTTGCCTTGGAAGACTAGTAATTGCTAAAACTTCATCTTTTACTTTGTAACTAGTCTTTTCCTCTTGATTTTGCTTCACATCCTCAAAAACATTAAATATCACCTCTTCATCTTGGTCTTTTAGTTTCACAGTTCCATCATCAACATGAATGACAACCTTAGCTGTCTTCATGAAAGGTCTTCTAAGAATGAGAGGTATATCTAAACCTTCCTCCATTTCCATTACTACAAAATCAATAGGGAATTTTAGATTATCAACTTTAATCACCACATCTTCCACTACACTGTAAGGATGCTTAATGGACCTATCTGCCATCTGCAAGATCATTCTTGTTGACTTGACTTCAAGGTCACCAATCTTTTTGAGCATAGATAGGGGTATTAAATTGATGCTAGCCCCTAAGTCAACAAGAGCCTTCCCTATATCATGATTTCCAATGGTGCAGGGGATAGTGAAACTCCCTGGATCTTTTACTTTTGGAGGTAGAGATTTCTGCATAATTGCGCTGCAATTTCCCTACACTTCAATTGTTTCCTCATCTAAATACTTCTTTTTACTGAGGAATTGCTTCACATATTTTGCATAAGCAGGAATTTGTTGCAGTGCTTCAGTCAGGGGCAAAGTAATCTCAAGTTGATTAAATATCTTCTTGAACCGATCCATTTGTCTTTCCTTATCCTTTTGTGAAGTATTTTTAGGATAAGGAAGTTGCTTCACCAACACTTTCTCTTTTTGTCTTCCATCTTCCTTCCTGTTTCTACTTTCTTCTTCTTCAATCACCTTCTTTTGATCATCCTCTTTGTGTGCTGGAATCTCTTTATTTGTCGGCTTCTCCTTGGAATCAAACCCCACTTCTTTTCCACTTCTGGTTATTATGACATTACATTCCTCCCTGGGATGAACTTCATTCTTAGCCACAAATTTCTTTTCAGATGTCTCATCCAGCTTCTTTGCAAGCTGACTCACTTGTGTCTCCAAGTTTCTAATAGAAGCTTCAATGCTTTTATGGTTGGAGATGGATACTTGCATGAATGGATGAAGTGTTTCTTCAAGTTTGGATGTCCTATCAGAAAGAGTAGGTTGTTGTTGAAACTGCTGTTGTGGTGGTATACTAGAACTAGCCTGACCCATGCTAGGATGAGGTTTCCAGCCTTGATTATAATTTCCATAGTTTCCTGAACGGCCTTGATTTCCCATATAATTAACCTCTTCCTTAGCATTGGACTGAATAGCACACTGTCCATTTTGGTGCTCTCCACCACAAAGTTCACAACCTTGAACAGTTGGATTATGTTGTGCCTGTGATACAGTTTGGAGTTCCTTTGGTAGTTGTGACAACTTTTTCATTACTGATTCAAGTTGTTGAGTCATGATTTTATTTTGGGCTAATAAGGCATCTTGGGATTGCAATTCAAACATGCCTTTCTTTTGCGTTTGCACTCTCTCACTTTGGACATCATTATCACTAGATGTCATATTTTCAATTATTTCTTGTGCCTCGTCAGGTGTCTTCCACCTAATGTTACCTCCAGCAGAGGCATCTAGCATAAGCTTTGTGTGAGATTTTAAACCTCCTAAGAAAAGGTTTAATTGAGTGGGAATGTCAAATCCATGAATTGGAGTTTTTCTCAGCAACCCCTTGAACCTCTCCCATGTTTGACTCAACGACTCTTCATGCTCTTGTTGAAAAGAGGATATTTC